CCCCCGAGCCTCAGCAAGACATCCCTGTCCCCTCACCTTACAAGTCACAAATTCTTCTGACGGCTATTTCTGTGCGATGCTGCCTTTGGAAACAGGCTGTCGAAACATGTGTTGCTGATCGGGCAGTATTACCTCTTGAGAATTCCTTAGTGGTAGCATACATCGCAACTATGACCTCGCCATAGGTTGCACATCGTTGGTGAGGTACAGCTTGTAGTTCATCATTGCTTGCTGGCGAATCGAGGCGTCAAGATTGAAAACATTTTAGAAACCAATGTTCAACTCTCTAAAGGAACCTTTCTACATACCAATTACATTAGGCTCTTGCACAATGTGAACAAGCATTGACCAAGTTAGGAATTGAGCATAGGGAAGCTGTTGATGATACAACAGGTGCAGCAAAGGTATCATTGTTTTCCCCTTCTACTTTACGTACCCAAGACACTGAAGCTACGATCATCATATGTTTCCCTTATTAGGCTATTTGCGTAGCAAATTGAATATCTGATTGTTTGGTTATCCACGCTATCAAGTTGATTATTAATCATGTATGCCGCCTTTTTTCTAGCTTATTGCGGAACAAAAGCTCCAAGATACTGCTGCAGTTGCTAGCTCATTAGCTGCTCAACTTTATGCGCCGGATATTCTTGCAGAAAACATTCAGGTACAGCAGTTGCATTATGAATTTATGAAACAATTCCTTCTTTCCTTGAAGAGAAATCCAACTCCACGTACAGAATGACACAAACAATGTTACCCGTTTTATGATGCTGGCTCGAGAACCCATTATTCCTCACACTAACAAGCCATTCAAGGTATGGGATGCCAGTAATCTTCAAACCGTTCATGCCCATCCCCTTAGTAGTGAAATAATATAAGATCATTACCTCCAGACCAGCATAGTCTTCTCTCTAGAAGAAGGACCTGGTCAACTGTTCAAAGCACTCGCGATGTTTGATCTGTGAAAAATCAACCTCACAAAGGTACTTTGTCATTTTCATTCTTGAAAACACTTATTATGCTCCCCTTCTCAGTCCATCCCCCTCCTAAGAGAGAACTTAGCAACGCAGCTTTGCTCTATATGTCCTGCGGATGGAAAGCCCCACACAAGAAAAGGCCTCTACGTGTAGCTGATGATAACTGTTCTGCACTACTGAAGTAGGAACTAATTTTACCATTTAAGTTTCTTTAAGGGTGTAGAATCTGAGATTTTTCGAAACTGCTTGTATAGACATGCTCCTCGTACACCCTTGAAAGCATCTAGGCCCCTAGTTGGGTTTCGGTGATTAATGACGATACGAGATTACTATGACTAATATGTGTTTTGCAGAGGCATTATAAGTTAAGTCATGGTAATGTCAATTGATTGGGCAATATGGTTTTCATGCCCCCGTCGATGGAATTCGATTCGGTTTTTCAGAGGATGGACGACAAGATTAAGGACGGACTAGTTCTAAGTGTCAATTGGAGTTGGATAGACACTTATAGTAGTTTATGACTTTGTTTTTCCTTTGGCTATACTATTAAAGGGGGTATGGAGTAGTAGCTTGACCTAGGTGGCTAGGTGAGTCTAATGAGTTAGGTGTAATGCACACTTGCCAAACTTAGCACTAGGTAGTTCAGATGAAGTCCTTAGATCAATTGGAAGAAACTTCATTCATATAGGATTTCGATTTGAAAGTGAATGGAGGGTCAAATGATTGGTCGGACGCTGGTCACGCAGTGACCGGACGCTGGGGCGTGCGTCTGGTCAGTTCATTTGACCTGAGACAACAATCTGGTACTGACCGAACGCTGAGGCGGAGAGCACCGTACGCCGAGGGTATACGTCTGGTCGCTAACAGAGAGGCACCAGAGAGGTATTTTCATGACCGGACCGTCCGGTGGGTGCTGATCGGACGCTGGGCAGAGTCCGATCACAACTTAACGGCTCTTTTCGCCAGAGGGTGATCTTGAACTGACCGAAGTGTCTGGTCAAGTCGATTGGAGCGTCCGATCAACTCGTAGAAAGTTGACTTAGCCTCCTAATGGCTTCATTTGTCTGAGGGGGTATTAATACTTTTTCTATTCGTCCATGGGAGCTCTTTTGCTCATTTGTTCAGTTGAGAAAACACCTTTGGAGTGCAAGGAAGTGCAAGAGCCTAGTGAGGGTCCTAGTGATTTGCAAATCCAAGATTAAGGACCTCATTAGTGCATACGAAGTAGCAAGTATGCATCCACTCGTCTTATTAGGCTTGGTTGGGTCAAGTGAGAGTTTGTGCTTGTTACTCTTGGTGATCGCCATCACCTAGATGACTCAGTGGTGATTGGAAGCTTGGTGATCATGCGACGGAGCTTGTGGATGATCCAAGTCGTCTTATGAGCGGTTGTGGGCGATTCACCGCGACGGAGTGTCGAAGAATCAGCCCGTAGAGAGCACTTGGTCCTTGAGCGGATCAAGGGGAGCTACACCCTTGCGTGGGTGCTCCAACGAGAACTAGTGGGGAGTGACGACTCTCCGATACCTCGGGAAACATCGTTGTGTTCCTTTCCCTTTTACAAACTCATAGTTGATTGTAGTTCATATCCTGACCCCGGAGTCGTTTTATCCTCTCTGGTTGTCGTGGAAAAGTGTTAGTACGTGGCACTAGCTGCCCTATTCGCTTGAACTACTTCAGCATTATTTTTCAGCGAACGAACAGTATTTTTCTCTCATAATAAATCAGCATAAGCATCAGTATAAGCCAAATTTCACAACAGATCATCATAAGCATTAGTATAAGCCAAATTTCAGTCGTTTGTTTCTGGTTAAAGTATGTCTCAGGAGGACCTCTAACTCTAATTCTATTCATGTCTCGAGTTTCATGTCAAGAACCTACAATTCATGTCTTATAATTTCATTCCAAGAACTTTGTGAAAAGATACAGTATCTATTTACATATATAGAACCTAACAGAAAAAGAAAAGAAGATGATGAGTTGCTGGAGAATTCTAATCTGTCCTATTGATGATGCAACTGCGATGGTTAAGATTGAACGCCAGGAAAAATTGCACTAATGGTTACGCCCTGTTCTTCAGCACTATTTTAACAGTACTTTCCAGCAAATGAATAATATTTTTCTCTAACAACAAATCAGCATAAGCATCAACGTAAGTCAAACTTCAGCGAAAAGTATGTGCTTTCTACTTTTCGTGCCTGGGCGGTTTCTTCCACCACTTGTGCTTAAAATCTATATACTATATACATATACGTAGTGTAAATGGGGGTTGTTGCCTAACATTGCGTTGCAGATCCGATCACCTCTGCGGCTCTGCCTTCCTTTCCTTTTGACAATTGCTGTGTGTGGCTCAAATAACAAACAGGAGATGGATGTCGAGTGCCTTCAACTCAACTTTCTTTTTTAACTCAAGACTTGTGATCAAAACTTAACTTGTTAAAAAGAACCCATACAGCTTTTGACCTCCAACTTGCACGCCGGACTCAAATCACGTCCCGGCCTCCAGCCGAGTGCACGTGTACGTGTAGCAGCGCTAATATGACTTTAATTAATATATATAAACTCATAGTTGCTTATATATGAGAAAAAGAAAGGCTTTACTTTCCCTGCGAAAGCCTCACCGGACGAAATACTTCCTCTGGTTGTACTGTTCGCTTCACTAAAAAGTCTGGTTGAAAAGTATCATTCGCTGATTTGTTGTGAGAGAGAAATATTGTACCATGACTGATAAGTTCAAGCGCAAAGTGGTACATTGACCAATAACTTTAATACAAAATATGGCATTTCAAAGAAAAGGTGACTAAGTATTTGGGATGTAGTTTTAGTGGTGAATCTAGTAAAAAAATCCTTTATGAGTACATTTCAAATCTACATTAACTTTTTTATATGTTCATGGTCAAATAAAAAAAACAAAGTAGTGGTTTTATTTGGGCATTTTTAGCTTGTGAAACAGTTAGACTTGATGAAGAATTCGGAAAGAAATGAATAGGACATTTGAATGGTCGGCTAGGGTGGGTTATTTGGTCCGTGAAATGGGAAATCACCGGGCCTCGTTTGATAGGTTTTCGGCTCCAGACATAAAAAAATGGCTTCTTGGAAAGAGCCTGGAGGAACCGAAACCGCTTTTGCATAGAGGAGCCAAAAACGAAAATAGTGGCTTCTCCTAACTCCTCGTCACAAACCTAATACAAACTATTACAAAACTACCTCTAGAGTCGTTTTTGCCAAAGTTTTTTCAAAACGGCTTTAGGTCCACCAGAGAAGTTGGTCCATATGAAGAGCCAGAGCCAAAGTTCTTTTTAGGAGGAGCTAAAGCCATACCAAACAGGGCTTTAAGGTGGTTTGTCTCATCTCATGACTTTTGGTGAATTGACAATGGATGTCAATCTAATTTAACAAACCCACCAAAATGTTTATTTATTGTTTCTTACTTATGAGAATTTTTAGATGTCATCGAGAGTGGGAGGATAGTAGTATTGAATATTTTTTCACTAATACCTGGGAGACTGAAAATGGAGGAGGCCAGACTTTAGTTACATTGTTGGGTCATACACCCATAGGTATAAGACAAGGAGTCAAGAAAAAGAACACTAATAAATAAGGAGAAACATCTGCGAACAACATACACCAGAAAAAAACCACCATGATCCCTTGATCCGTGCTAATGAGTCATGAGGAATGGTAGTGACAATGAGTAAAAAAAACATGCTATTTTTTAATAAAATTAATAATAGTATGTATATATAAAGTAAAAAAGAGTAAGGAGTGAGGAGAAGATGGTCACTTGCATTGCATCCACTAACACTGGTATCGTCCGTCCGATCCGATCCATCCGACGTCCCAAAAGGTAAAGAAAAATGAAAGCATACGTCTCCCTCTCTCTCCTCCCCCCTTCCTCTCTCCTTCTTCTTCCTCCGCCCTCTCTTCTTTTCCCTCCCCGCCCGGCGACCCAATACCAACAATTCCTACCAGAACCCGATCCCCATCGTCCACCCACACCCAGAGGTAAGGGAGGGGAAGGGGATGACGGGCAAAGATGCCGCCGCCGGCGGCAGCGGCGGCGGCAAGGGCCGCCTCTTCACGGTGGGCCTTGTCACGGCGTGGTACTCGTCCAACATCGGGGTTCTGCTGCTCAACAAGTACCTGCTCAGCAACTACGGCTTCAAGTACCCCATCTTCCTCACCATGTGCCACATGTCCGCCTGCTCCCTCTTCTCCTACGCCGCCATCGCCTGGCTCCGCATCGTCCCCATGCAGCTCCCGCGCTCCCGCCTCCAGCTCGCCAAGATCGCCGCGCTCAGCCTCGTCTTCTGCGCCTCCGTCGTCTCAGGCAACATCTCCCTCCGCTACCTCCCCGTCTCCTTCAACCAGGCTGTCGGCGCCACCACCCCCTTCTTCACCGCCGTCTTCGCCTACTTCATGACCGTCAAGCGCGAGTCCTTCCTCACCTACCTCGCGCTCGTGCCCGTCGTCACCGGTGTCATCATCGCCAGCGGAGTAAGTTCCGTTTCCGACCTCCATATCTCCCCTCCCTGTCCATATCTATCTCATATGATATCTCCTTCTCTTGCATCCCTTTGCGCGCGAGGGGTGTGGGCGGTGGCGAGATCCCCAATTCCCGGCACACGGATCTGTGCTTATAGATCTCGCCGCGTGCGGATCTCATTATTCAGCATTTAGCATTCCCAATTGGATTGGATTCTAAGTAGTTCTGGTAGTACTGGGCATATTCACCAGGATTGTTATTGTAGCCACGCACCTCAATCTTCGCAGGTCTTTTTTTTCCCCTTCTTTTCATCAATTCAATAATAAGACATGCAAAATAAAGGGGCACACTGTAGTTGTATAGGCAGCCGCGTGGACACTATAGAGCATTCTTGATTCTCCTTTTTGCCATTGCCATTATTCATGAAGGACAATCTTCTTATTAATCGATCACTCTTGAGTTATGTTTGATATACTACTGATCTAACAAAATTCTTCACCTTTGATTGATGATGAACTCTAAGGGTGAAGTTGGCCTCCTAATAAAACTAAATAAATTGAAGCAAGCTTTGAGCTGAGTGGGCCATCCTCTTGATTAAGCAAGTACTCCTATTCAAATTCTTGCAGGGAGAGCCCAGCTTTAATCTGTTTGGGTTCATCATGTGTGTTGGAGCAACTGCTGCGAGGGCACTCAAGACGGTCTTGCAAGGGATTCTTATGTCTTCTGATGGGTAATGTCGGGGATCACAGATTACCTGTTTGCCTCTTTCAAACCTGTGCGTGTATTGAAACTGAAGCTAGCTCTGTTCCGTTTGTCAACTCGCAGGGAGAAGATTAATTCCATGAACCTGCTCATGTACATGGCGCCAATCGCTGTTCTTCTCTTGGCCCCTGCAACTATCTTCATGGAGGATAATGTTGTTGCCATTACGATACAACTGGCCAAGAAGGACATCAACATAATTTGGTACCTGCTCTTCAACTCTTCCTTGGCCTACTTCGTGAATCTGACCAACTTCTTGGTGACAAAGCATACCAGTGCATTAACCCTACAGGTATGCCATGCTTCCTGCCCTGCCCTGGATTCCTAGTCAGTTAGGAAACACATGACACGTTGATGCTGAGAGCGAGCATGGTTGTCCTCATGTCTGACCTGACTGCCCTTGGCTGTAGGTCCTGGGCAACGCAAAAGGAGCGGTTGCAGTTGTGATCTCCATCTTGATATTCAGGAACCCGGTGTCTATAACTGGGATGCTGGGCTACACGCTGACTGTCATAGGGGTGCTTCTTTACAGTGAAGCTAAGAAGCGAACCAAGCAATGAAATCGGCAGCAATAGGACGAAGCAAGCCTAGTAGTCTTTCTTGGATATATCAGCTATAGTTTTGTGAGCACATACAACAGCACTGCGAATAATTACTTGTATTCTTTTTTTTTATTCAAAACAAAACGCCTTCCCAGCCCCACACCAATGGTATGGTGTGATCCACAGAAAAGGAAAGAAATATAGTGATTAATTCTTTATGTGTTGTGACTAGTGAAAATACCTTGTCCATTCCTATTAATTGTTTCCCGTGTTGACAAAATTCTTTACGTTGCTGTTTGGGTGGGTGTTTGGTGGGGGGGGGGGCGCGGGGGCTAAACAAGTTTGCGTTCATTGTTTGTTGGAACACGGGAATTTTTCCTGTTCATGCATTGTTCGTGTGAAAATTTTCTACAATGGCCAGCTGAGGGCTCGTTTGGCCCAAGAGTAGCTCGTTAATCAAAGAAAAAACAAGCTAAGATGGAGGAGACTCAGTTCGTTTTGTCTGAACATATGAACGAACCGAACCAGGCCGGCTCACTAACCTCGAGCTCTTTTTGTTCATCAAACGCACGCGTAAAGACACGTAGGGCATATAAACTTGTGGCAAACGAAACTAGAAAGTGTGACACTGACGGACACCCCTAGTCCGTCCTGAAATATATAGTCCATTCTAGTTATCCTCAGACAACGCATGTACCCTCACTCAACTTTCTAATTTATTGAACTCTGATTCCATTTCCCATGATTAACGGTTCCCTTATACAAAAATATGGCAAGTGCTGAATCAAGTATTTCTATTTAGTAAAGCTTATCTTTTTTGTTTTTGAGGATAAATTTCAAAGGCCAGAACACACTATGTTGCGGGATAAGGGAGAAGTGTTCAAGGTTGTAGACACCATCCAAACACACCGCAAATCATGCCCGCTGAATTTACATCAAGTAACGATCTGAATGCACATGTAGAAGGCAGCAAAACTGATAGCAAAACTGATAAGCATAGAAACAGGGCCCGACGTCACAAAATGCATAGCAAGCAATCACCCCCAAGTGGAGCATATACACTAAAAAAATTGGACAGTGGATTCACAGCTCTCCACATGGTGGCACAACAATAGCACCATTATCTTCTTTTAGCAAAATCTGAATGGACACCGTATTTTGTAAAGCACAGCACAGTACACAAGAGCATGCACTTCCTCACGTACCAGATATGACCATGGACAACATCATGGCTTCAGCTCGCCCATCATGGCTCGTTTTATAGGAGTTGAAGTGCATGCTCTTGTGAACTTCATAGGAGTTGCTGCTTCACTAGAGTTGCTGCTTCACTAGCCTCGCGACAATCAAATAAACAGTTGCTGCTGATAAAGCACGAAAGCACTGCATTCTATAGGAGTTGAAGTGAACTAGGAGCTAAAAAGGGAAGCATACGCTGAAAAAAACATAATAGAGAGATCCACAGCTGTGCAATTACTAGGCAATACAAAAAAGATAGGATGCTAACATAAAGGGAAGCGCATCACACTACAGAATCTACTCTACAATCTAATGATTTAACATAAGCTAACTCCGGTACCAAGTACAGAACCAGTCGTCTGGATGCATGTAACCACAGAAAGCCTAAAATTTGCTCACTCAACTCAGTGAATAATGTGACCCGGTCAGTGAGCCATCCTAACTCTAAGTCAGTGACACCAACTTATGCTCCGTTGCTCCAAACTTCATGGTGCATTTCCTGAATTCACCATATGAAAATTTGATAAGCAAATGAATACAGAACTTTAGTTGGGGACAATCAAAGAATGTGTACCTCTGAATCACAGCATATCCAGTCCAGAATGCAGCATTTAAGATGAAGGATCTGTAGGAGCCCCATTTTTCACATCCGATGGGGCTCCTTGAGGTGGCTCCTCCTGCTTCATCTTCTTATTGGCACTCCTGTTAGTATTCTGAGAGGGCCGCTTCCTCTTGCGACCTTCATAGTCACTATCTCCGTCGTCGAAATCGCTGATGATGATATCACACCAATATGAATCTTCAGCCTTTCTAGCTGAGTACAAGCTCCCAGCAGACTTCCTCCGGCCCCTCTGACCATCCGCAGACATGAACTGATCCTTATCATCGCCGGCTTCTGACTTTGTAGCTGGGCCCAAGCTTACGATGGACTTTTTCCTACCCTTCTTGCAACCAAAAGTCTCAAGCAGCTCTTTATCTTCATATACACTAGGCGCCTCAGAGTCCTTGTGCTTTGAGAAGAAGCTAACAATCACAGGAGCAGAGTCATAATTGCCATTTACAGGATCAGCGGCGACCGACAAAAGCTGCAGCAACATCTCAGCAGCCGATGGATACTCAAGTTTGTCTTGAATGCCGTCGTCGTCATCCTTGAGCGGTGGTGCAGGGTCCCTGCAGGCATCTGTTTTCCTGGGCCTCCCTCGAGGCCTGCCACGGGGCGCGCCACTGCCACCGCCCCTGCCCCTGGATCCTCTCCTGCGGTCGAAATCCACATCGGAATCGGAGTCGGTGGCACCCCTCTTCCTGGGGTCCCAGTCCTCATCGGAGTCGTAGTCCTTGACGAGTTCCTCCTTCCTCTTCCTGCCCCTCCTGGAAGCGGGGGTGGTGTCGGCATCCGCGGCAGCCTTAGGATTGCGCAGCGGGAGCGGGATGTGTGGGAGTAGACCGAGCTCCATGGTGTACTGAGGTGGGTCCGGCAGAGCCCTGAAGGCGTCGAAGGCTCTGAGATGCGCCTTGGCGACGGCGGCCTGCACCCTGTTGGTGAAGCCCATGCGATCCGCGGCGAGATCGTGGAGCGAGGCGAGGAAATCGGCGGGGGCAAAGGGGCGGGCGGCGGAGGCGAGGGCGGCCTCGACGCGGCGGGAGAACTCGTCGAGGGAGGCCTCGACGGCGGCGTCGAAGTCCTCGCCGCCGTCGTCGTATAGCTCGGCGACGGGGAAGTAGGGCTCGTAGGGCCTGAGCTCGGCGGCGTCGCACCAGGCGAAGGCCTTGTCGCCGAAGTAGGAGACGAGGAGCTGGCCCTCGTGGCCGGTGCCGTTCCCTCCGGCGGAGTAGATGAGGCCCGGCCAGGCGGCGTGGCTGAGCTTCTTTCCCCAGACCATGTCGCCCGGAGCGAAGCCGCCGACCATGGGGGTGTCGGGATCCGGAGGGCGCGGGTGAGCGGGAGGCGGGGGGTTCTTGCGGGGGCGGCCGCGGCCGCGCTTGGGTGGCGCTGGCGCCAGGGTTTGGGGGGGAGGCGGAGGCGGAGGCGGAGGCGGAGGCGGATCCGGCGGTGTCGTTGAGGTCGATGTGGGCGGACATGGTGGCGGTGGTAGGGTTAGGGTTAGGGTTTGGGTATGGGGTTGGGGTTGGGGTTGGGGATCGAATCGATTCGAACGGAATGGGGCCTGGCCTGGGGGTGGGGGAGGGAAGGGAAGGGGACGGCACGGGCTGCACCCTGCCTGCTGCTGCGGTGCTGCCTGCCTGCCCTGCTTTCTGCTCTGCTGCTCTCCACACTCCCGTCTCTCTCCCCACCCACACACACCCATCACAAAAGTCTCTCAGACCCCTGTCTGGAAACTGAAACAGGCGGCCCATCCATCGCTTTTTTTATTCAAAAACAAAACATTGGCTTAGCCCACCTACCTCGGAAATTTCAAGGGCCCTTAAACTCCGTTTTTTTTTTCCTTTTCTCGTTCGTCCTAGTAATTTTTTTTCCAACAACTCCATCCGCTCCTGAGGACACTCCCAACACAAACTCTACCGTGATTTCAATGCCTATTTATTACCCTTCTATTTATTAAACTTTGCTGACGTGACAGTATATCTATTGAGGAGAGAAGAGCAAAAATTACTCTCCTGTGGATACGGAAGAAATCAGTTCGTGGCGCATTGGGGACCTCCTTCGTGGTTTCTATCGGTGATCTGAGATCACGTACTCCCTTTGCCTCCCATCCCCATCACCACCGCCACCACCACCAAGCGCGCTCCCTGCGGACGTCCGGCGCACGGCCTCGACCCCTCCCGCGATTATTCTCCGCACCAGCGCACAGGCCGCCGCGGATGTCGCTCGACGCGGAGGTGCGGCAGCGGCAGGCGGCGGAGATAGAGCGGATGGGGCGCGCCGGCACGCGCGCATCACCTGCAGCATGTTCGGTTAGCTGGTTCGTATTGTTGCTGGTTCGTTTATGTGAGAGAGAAATACTGCTGGCTGATTCATGTAAATAGTATCTGTGAGAAGGCTGGCCTGCCAAGCCAGCCAGCCCCAGCCGAACACGGCCTGGTCCCTCAGCAACGTCCAGATCCGTCCCTTGCATCACCTTCACCAATCGCCATGTATGTATATGCATTGCATGTCAATTTCACAGTGATCGTGGGTCCCGTCCGCTCCCGCGCCGGTGCCTCTGATCCAGGAAACCACCGTGACGAACAAGATGCCGTAGATCATGCTCCCCTTCACGTTCCTGGCCACGTCACCGTGATGAGGAAGCCCACGGCGCCAAACTAAAACATGATATCGATGGTGCATTGTTGTTGAGACGTTTACTAAAATTTCGTAAGCTTACCCTGAAGAAGAAGAGATCGGTCGATGATGTCAAAAACAAAAAAAAATCTCTTAATCAGTGAATATTTGAGAGCCGGTCAGAAAATATTATTCAATTTTGGAGAAGCCCGATGCCCAAGATCTCCTCATGTGAAATAAGGAAAAAGTCAAAAGAAACAAGGAAAGTGCACGTGTCATGACTTGAGAGAATTATTAGAGATATTCTCACGCACGGCTGGTTATTATATTCAGCCAAGTTTGAAAGATTTGCTAATATATGGAATATTTGAGGAAATCGGTGACGGCATACAGCATCTTGAAGTTGGTCTGATAGAGATATTACGTAAAGCAACAAAAGAAATATCATTGGCAGGATTATGTGTTTGGAAAGCTCTAGATGCATCTCGGATGTGCAACAAAGGTAAAGGAATATTATTCTATTCAGGATATGGGGTCCAAGAGTACATCGACAATGCAAGAA